TACACTTGTACGAAATTGTGTGATAAAATCGCAAATGAAAAAAAACGTAAACAGTGCATAGCATCATATTGATCAAGATTTCTTGAAAAGAAGCTTTATCTGAATTATTACTAACAGTAGTTACAGAATTTTTAGCGAAGATTTAATTTTTTTGACATTATAACTGAGGGTTTTGAGATCGTTTAAATTAAATACCACTAAACATTAATTGCGATTTGTTTGAAATAACTTCTTACGTGAGCTTTTCAAAACGTTAAATTACCGTTAAATTTATGTCCCGCTAAAATTTCCAATTATACGGTATTAAGCGCGACACAAATGCTAACTGTTACATGATTGATACTTTCATCTTTTAAAGTTATTTAACTTTCTTTCAAAAACACATTCGTTATTCTCTCGGGAGAAAGTTTTCATAAAAATCCTCTTCTTTAGGAATATCAATTGTTCTGATATCTTTTTCAAGAAAACGAGTAAATAGGTAAACGTCCTAATAAAACCAAAAAATCGATTGCATGTCGCAGATCAATTTTGTAGGTTTTGAGAAAGACAAGTTACCTATTAATCGATTTGGATAAGGAACACACGGCACAATATTGGTCAGGACATTGAATAAGAAAGCAACCGTCTTAATTTTTCTTTTTTTTTCAAATGCGTTTTATATTTTAGATGACCGTTCAAATAACAAGAATAAATTTTGGTAAGATCAATATTTTGTTTAAAAAAAAATAATGAATAAATAACTTGAAGATAACAGTTTCTTTGTTTCAAATTTGCACATGTAAATGGGTATATTAACAAAATGACTTTGGTAAAAAAAAAAAGTCAAGTTCTGCCAATCATTAAGACAAGCTAATGAAGTTAGCCTTCCAGCGAGAAATAGCCCGCCGAATTAGTCTGTAATCTTGGAAGACAGTCGACATTTTGGAGCTCCCTAACAAGTCAGTAGGTTCACATCAAAGCAGTGGGAGATTTTGACTTGGCTGTCCAAAGAACAACTAAATGAAAAAAAGTTTCCGTTTCACTTCCTCTCCTAACAAACAGGCGGCAGACAGTTTTACGACGATTAGCTTGCGCGTGAAAATATCGCCGATTTTTGGTAGTCGATGGCGTCGGTCAGTATATACCATGTGTTAAGTTAGTGTAGGGCTAAACCGCTACTATTTAAAGTCTTTGATGCATATTGCTTCCACGTCACTGATTCTTCGATTTTAATGAAAGGCTATTTATTTAATTACATAGATAATTTCCTGATCAGACAGAAAAGTCTTAGAGAAGTGTCAAAGCATGGACATCGATCAGGGATTTTTGCTGGACAATTTGAAAAGGGGAAATGTATCCCATGTATTGGTTAATATAATAATTGCATGGTCATTTTCTTTGATCCAAGAAATACAAAATGATTTTAGAAGTTTTAAGTCGTAAATCAGACTGATTTTCCGAGTTGATTATATTTCTTTGTTTTAAGGATGTTTAAAGCCCGATGATTACAATATTAGAAAAATAATTATTAATCATATGCAATAAACAAATGACTACATGCTCATGCGTTATTATAACGATTATAAATAGTTCATTTTTTTATGAATATATAGAATTGCAATACGTTTCCTTTAGCATTGCCTTCATAGAATGGCATGTACTATATGACAATTTTCCTTTTTTCAACATTGATTTATTTATGTTTTATAATAACGTTAAGGCAATAATATTTATTTGCTTAAATATACTTATGTAAAAGAACTAGTACCTTATACGTATTAAATTATAATGTTTTTTAAAAAAAATGAACTGTTGTCAACGTTATGAACATCATAATATACATAAACATTTACTCCATTTACCATGAGATTGAGATATAGGAATGCAAGGAAGCTGTCTTTCGCCCTGAAGTCAAAGTAAAGCCATAAAATACATCATTCTCTGCTAATGTTTTTCGTCTATTTTTATAAAGCTGTGAATGCATTTTAATGAAAATAGATTATAACATTTTTAGAATTTCCTAAGGTTTTTAGTCTATCAAATGCCAATAAATTAAGGTAAATGGACTAATTTTTTATTTGTTTGTTCTATCTCTTAAACGCGTTTGTTTTTATTCAAAATATCATTTTTTGTTTTTGTTGAGATAAGTCTCTAATACATAGGCATTTCATATATATCCATGCTTCTATATTTATTCGGATTTCAAATTTAAAAACAAAATAATTCCAGTATTCTTATTTTGAACTGGTGTACTTCGTATTCTTTCTCCACTGAAAACTGTTCATAATTCAAGAATCAAATGGAGAAAAATTGATCTAAAAATGCTCCTATAACGTGGCGGAAGATTCTTTTTAATAGATACATTATTTGAAAAAAATATTTGTTAAAAAAATATCAACTTAAAAAATAAACACATATTTAATTTTTCAATAATATTTAGTATAGAACAATCCGGTCGTAAACAATGCATGTTTTCTAATGTACCCTAAAAGTATATTATAATTTTTTTTTTTAATTAAAAATCATTTATACTAAAAAATAGAATTGACGTTTTTTTTATATGTAATGATTAATGATTTTCTGATACATTAAGCCTGAAAAAAATAACAACTTTCAAAATATTAAAGATCTGAATCTGAATGCGCGCTCTAAAAATGACATTATTTTAACTTGTAGCATATACCAAAAACGTGTATTTATAATTATTTTACTTATTTATCATTATTTTTAAAAGAAATAATCAAGTATATTTTGGAAATTCCTCGAATAATGATTAAAAAACGTATAATTGCAGAGAATAAATCATACATAATGTTCCATATATGAACAGTGCTTAAATTATACCGCAGAAAGTTGATTCTCTAGATTTTGCTATGTTGTCAGGTGAACCAAACGAAGGATGATTGAAGACTCTGTCAAGATGTATACAAAGCAGAGTTTGGTATGGAAACTATACCCGATCTTTCGTGGCATTGATATTTTTGATAGTATCAGACGTCATCGGTCTTTTTGACAACGGCATTGTTCTTTGTTACGTCACAAATAAAGTTCGATTATCGCTCTTGATAACGAAGAATGTCGATCCCGAAATTTGACACGGGTTTTGTTCCTTTTTAACATTTTTCAATTTATGCTAATTCCAGGAGTTACTTTGTTGTTCTTTTATCTTTATGTAAGTCGATCCCATGCCTTTTTATGGTAGAGTTTTGATCAAGATTGATACTCTGTCCTCGAAAGGTAACAATTGTAACGTTGATACGGTACGTTGGTGGAAGATCGACATTAACCATAGCAAATTGACACGACGCGGATTTTGACCCTTATTTTTGATATCATTATATTTCAGAGATAATAATTTAAACATCATTTCTGCATCGTTCACTTTCGTAAATAAGATAGTCGTTTTGCCTAACTGCATCATGTTGACGTTAACATAAAAACGACAACGGTTTAATTCTTTAGAACGAGGTTCAAAAGTTTAAGATGGGATGAAAAACTAAAAGACAACTCTCATTATGAAATAAGCAGCTTAGACTTTTAAGCCTTTCGGGTATACAAAGATGACATCTAGATTGTCTATATCTAAATGCTGTTGGCTTTCCCTGCTCTTCTGTTCCTGCTATTAAATGAAGCATAAATTGCACAGCACCGTCTCGTTGTTACGATTATTTTGCTGGACTCCTCCATGGTCGAAACAAAATAAAGATAATCTTGGCTATAAGCTAAAAGTAAACATGTGATCTACCCTCACATCAAAATCTCCAATCAACCGTGAACAAATAAACAAACTTTAAGGAAGATTATTATTACACATTTTTTGACAATTCAAGTGTATAAATTTCAAGTTATGAAGAATAATATCTCAGACTTCAAACATGCACATTTAGAACAAAGAAAATTAAAGCATTCATTTTTTCGACGGTTTATAACTTATCACAATCACTTTCAGGCTTTGCTGTTTTGTTTAAATGTATAGATTAAATCATTACAATGAAATTTTGCGTACTGAAATTGTTTAGGTAAAAAATGCCTTTAATACTTAAAACGCAGAAAAAATATAAACTTTTTTTTTGGCAATCTATCCAAAAAGCTGTGCTTAAATGTTAAAAGCACATTAAACAAAATTTAAAATTTAAAAATACTCCTTCTAAACATATTCCACGCTATTTTCAAGCATATCATAATGTATTTACATCTTTACCTGTTTATATGTATAATGCAATACAAATCACTGTATTTTAAAAATCAAAAAAGTATAATTACAATGTGAAAAAAAAAATAATAAGATTACACTTTTTCTTTGTGGTAAAATTACTTTTAAAAAGTGCATAAAACGTATTTCAGTGTGTCAGATTTTTTTTCAAAGTGTCCCTGTGTGCCTATGTATTATATAAAATTGCTTCGTTGCGAAGCAGTTTTTTAATAACTGTTCTGTCAGATATTCAAAAATACATTTGCACTGACTCCACGGGGTGATGCAAAGTAGAAATGAAGTGCAAGACCACCTAGATGTGCTAAGAAACCATTTAAATACCCTTACTTTTGGTGAAATTCATATAACGTATCGATGACATATTAGAAAATTTCCAAGATACAAGATTTCTGCATGAGTTCTTTGAAACAGATCAAGTGATTCTCAGTTGATTTATATCTTAAACCCTTTAATGCGCACTTGATCCCGATGTTATCGCCGCCCTATCTTTTACAACATTTTATGTGAATTAATACTTTGATTTGAAAGTTTAAACTTCAAGTCTTGTTATATACTGCTCCTCTCCCACATGGCTAAAGATCCAGTTCTAACGCTACCCCTCACTCTCTTGACTGACCAGTGAGAGCTTTTGTCATAATACTTGCAATCAATACATTCTTGAGAGCGCATTGCAATTTTATTTAAATTAATCGGGTTTAAAATGATCACGATATGAAAGACTCTCCCTTGTCATTGGACAGCAGCGTGTATTCAGTTTGATATCAGCACTGTCAAATTGTGTTATTCAATGAATTGAGTTATCATTGTTGCCCTTTATGCATAGCAAGTCGTCCCATCAGCACCTGTTGTCGACATATATTTACCATCTTGTTAAAAATGAATAAATGTCAAGCCACTCCTAGTAAGTGTTATATATTTTATACTTTGCTTTTATCCAAATACAAATGGCAATGAATGTTAAATTGAATGTTTTGAAAACATGCTATTGATATCAATTCCAGGTTTTCTTTTCAATTTTATTAACTGAATAATTTTTATATGCATATATTATAATTATAATTATAATTTATAGTTTATCAAATATATCATGTGTTTTTTTTTAAGAAAACCGATTTTTGAAAAGAAATATCTTTAAATATGAAATTAACATTCTGCCCATCTCGATCGGCTTAGGAAAATTTATGAATATTGTGTATGATTGTTGCTTAATTGCTTTATTGTATTACATTGTAATATATACCCTCAATTACATTTCATGTTGCTAAATTGTTTGATTATTCATATTACACACAATCTTTAATTACATATCAGGTTACTATTTACTTGATTATTACAAATTCAAATTACCCTTTATTACATTTGATTACATTTGATTCTGGTAGTTTATTTGATTAATAATCAAAGTTCTTTACTTTCATTATATCATTAGATTCATTATATAATCTTTTCTACTGAAGTTGTAATGACGTGAATACATATATTCTTCAACAACTTCCTTTTTCAATGACTATTGGTAAGATGCATCCTGGCTAAATGAACCTAATTAATACCGATATCATTTAATCACCTTAAAACGACCGAAATTACATCAAAGGAAATTGGGTTCAATTGATAATATCATAAGAGAGCACATGCTATTGTTTTCAACTGGGCGACAAAAAAATAATGATAAAAAAAATATCATACTTGGAATAGAGATTTTAATTAATTATTGTAAATCAAAAGAAAGGTCCATGTTTAGATAATTCATTGTTGTATGATATGTAATTATCCCCCTCCTTTTTTTTTAGATAAGCGATAACTCTTAAAAATGTCATATTTTGAATAAAGATTTTTCTTATTGTAAAGTATAATAGAGGATCGTGTTATGATAATATTTATGATATGTCATGCCTTTATTTTCATTAGCATTTTCGAGGAATGACGGATAAGTGAAATTGAATTTCAATGCATGCATATCCACATGTATATAAATATCATTATTTTTATTTCTGTTTTCCAAATGCTAAAATTACTTTTGATTTTTGATCAACTTTTATATTAGACATTTGAGAATTTCAATTGACGCTCGAAACAAAAAAGGCCAAATCATGTAACCCATTAATAGTTTTTTCTCAAATGTAATTGTTACAATCGCATACACTTTATCCTGATCATATTCTATATAAGAACGCATTCAAAAGGTTAATTTATTTCCTTTATTAATGATTTTTACTTAGTAATTAATGATTAATTAGTTTAATCGAATTGTTTTATGTATTTTTATGTACTTTAATGTACTTCTTTTTTTTTTACAATTTTAAACTTTTCTTTTTTCCTTAAATACAGCAAGTGATTTACAACTCTCGACTTGAACTTCAAATTGTTTAGTAATACGAAAAATTCCAATAAACGATAGAATATCATTAAGGAACATTATGTAGATTCATTTCTTCACTTGCATATACAACTATCTTAGTTTGTTACAATGCGCATTGTAAAAAAAAAACTTTGTGACAAAATGTAATAAAATTTGATTGATTGTAACATTTTGATATATTTCATTTTGCACTGAAATCAACGCATAATGTAATAATGCAGAAAAATAAAATAAAGCTTGTGGATTATATTACATGGCGTATTTCACTTTTAAAAGAAGTGCGTTGTACATAATATGTAAATATCTTTTTAATCCCGTTTTGTTAATGTTTTCCATGAAAATCTTAAGATGTTAAAGTTAAAATCAGGGTTCATTGGGCATTCAGAAAAATTTTTCAAGACTCTCGAAAGTTCAAGAAAAAATGCATTCAAAATTACATGCATAAAATAACCAACAATAGTAAAATGTATTAAGTATCATTGTTGATGAAATCAACCTTTACTTAATTGTTGTATGTCGGCGAGTAAATGCTAAGTGGTCCTTTAAAAATAAAAAACAATTATTAATCAATGTCTTATACAGTTTTTGCTTTAAATGATACAACACGTAACATTATATGTAAGGAAACGTACGAAATCTACAGAATCATTTTATCTCAGAGTAAAAATACCACATATTTCAATTTGGTAAATGCGAATTAATAGATTTATTTGGGAAATTCTACATTCCTTTGTCAAGTATATATTAGTATTTTAACAAAGTAGATTATACTTTTTTTCATTCATATGTATCTGAACAGCTGTTTCACTGTTAGAGATAAGCAGTGAAACATTTGATCAAAAAATGAATCGTCAAATTATCATACTGATTTTCGTTAAAGAAGGAATAGCACTGATAAATTGTCGAGCAAATATTGCTTTTATTTTCAATTTGGCTTTTTAATGTCACGTTGCCTTATCTATTCCTGTCGATTTCATTGTTTGCATCTTTTGATGACGATTGAAAACGGAAATAAATTGATAGATATTAAGTACAGTAATATAACCCGATGTTTGTTTCGATTAATAAGATGTGTTTAAAGTGTTGGCAACTTCATTTAAAAAATGTCCGTGTTCTTTTGACAAGAAGACCGCTGTGTAAATTACTAAAGTCAAGAACGTGTTTAACTGGACGTGGAAGTTTACTTCTGTTTAATAAAACTCGAACGGAAGGCGGAAAAGTAATTTTAAATGTTGATAAGATTGAAATGTAAACTTCTGTCATGCATCTCGGAAGACACAAAACACACAGGCAGGTAATATATATTGCAACTGTTGTCAGCAAAAGCGCTCTGAAATCGAATTTTATTGAGAAATCGTCTCGTCGTAAAGTTTAATTTAAAAGAGCACTTTGATTACATTGGATTGGTAACCTAGGTTAAATAAAGATAAATGCCATTTGCGCTACTTCACCTGAATTGTGGCTTTCCATATTGAAATACTACATCGACAATACTCTTACAAATTGCATAATCCTATATGTTAAATGGAAAACGTCTATTTTATTAAGTCCTAAAACAGATACCTTGAATTGTACTGCAGTTCGACGTCGGTACATCTGATCAAATATTTATTTCGACCCCCGGGGAACACATTTATATCTAAGAGCCATGCTTTATGAATGCTGCAAATGAAAGAAGAAACGATAGTCTAAAAGGTTATCTTATTTATATGCCATGCTAAAGTCGTAGAAACCATTTGAAAATAATTACACAAAATATGCAGGATAAAATTATCAAATAAATTTTGTTGAAGAAATATCTCTGGTGTCGCCGGGATAACGTTTTACATTATTAGTGTTGACTTTTTCTCATGTTATACTGATAAGCATATCACAAGATGAGACAGTCCTCATAAAGTTAATCATAGATTTGTCAATGTTTTCAATTTTTTTTTTCTACTTGCAAGGATTTTTGTTAAACTTCCCATTTTTTTCATTTAAAAAACTATAATTATAAATTTGATTAATTCAAAATATTTTCAAACGAACAAAATAGAAACTCTTTATAAAATTTTAGTTTGATGGAAGAAGTTTTGTGCATATGGCTGCAATGTAAAGATATTCAAAACTCTTTTCTTATTATTAAAATTTTGAGTATCTAAAATATATGAATTATATATCTTCAACAATGTCGAACAAAAGTTCACCCACTTTCTGAAGAAAATGCTTTTCAGAATTTGAAAAGTAATTCACTTTACATTAGAAGTTTACTATTCCTTGAATTGCTTCCAGTGGATAAAACAAATATTTAATGAATGCACTTTGAAATAAGGCAATATTGTTTTTGTGCTAAAAGTTACCATTTCTTTTGACATGGGAAACTTTTTGACAATGGGCTTTACAAGTAATTTGACCCCATATCAGGCCATTCAAAGATCGACTTCTATTTCTGGCATTAGACATTATATAGTCATATTTGTACATTGGATTGCCTTTTGCCGGGGATTTGGCATAAATATTCGTCGTTTAAATGATGAAAATTCGTATCCGTTGCGTTATATCAACAACTTAAGCCCAAAGGCTTTGGCTTTCAAGGGAGGTTTTAAAGTCTTGAAACTAGATATAAAAGCGAATTCAATTATATATTGTGACTAGACATAATTACAGCATGAAATCATATTTTCTTTGACAAAAGGTAATATGTCAACACTAAGTTTAACGTTTGAACTGGGTTTACAAAAATAAGGTGAAAATACGAAGTAAAAACACTGTCTATCTCAAAAGAAAGCGGTTTACGGTAATGAATAAATGACCTTTTGACTGTTTGAATTTTCATTTACCTGGCCTTTATATAAGGAATATTACTTTATAATTCTAAATGGTGTTATATCCTTTTTGCTCTCTTATGCATTTTAAAATGACTAATCTTTCGTAAAATCATTCTTAATATAACCTGAGAAAAACAAATATGTCACCAATTCAAGAAAATAACATGCCTTTAGTCTGAAATGCATACAACTTAAACTTGCCGTTTAAACATGTAAGTCAGACAGAAAAAGTGTATTATATGAAAATAAAATGCACGGCAAAGTTATTATAAAAGATTATAATTCGGGGAGTGAATGCCAGCTTTGAGCAACTATCCCTTTAAAATGTATTTGAAACAAAACAAAGTTAAACTAAATATATTGAATATTTTGTGCGGAGAATGCTTTTTAAATTAAAGAATATAAAATGAATTAGTTGCGAAGATTGTTCTTTAATAAAGCTTTATTTTCAAAAATGCCTGATTTTGAATGACTTATTTTAAAATTCAAAAGTATTTAAACTTCTTCTTAAAGATTTAACTTTGTTTTCTAATTATAACCCGTTGAAAGAAAAAAACACATTTTTTTTCGAGATACTAATAATGGAAAACTGGCGTACCTTTTTTAATTGTAATACTGTTCGGGTCTTTTCTCTGTTTTCTTTCACTCCAGAGAAAGTGAGAGCTGCTTTCTCCTCTGTCTTTTACATTGTCTGGAAAAATTACCTCTTTCATATCGGTTTCTGTAAGTGGAAAGGCGATAAATGGCATTTATGATCATAAACCTGTTGGGCTACCATTGCATCATTATATCGTTCATTTTATTACTAACTGACCATTTTCAACTCTAAATCAAACATATCCAAAATGAATGTGATAAAATGGAATTCGACAAAAACTCCATAAGTTACCAAACACTGTAGGCAATAAATGATCTTTATATTTGTCATGTTAACGTGGTTTCCCGAAAGAATGAAGACATTCAAATCACTTAAAGTAAAAATAATGTATTAATTAGAAGAAATACAAAGATGATATATTACAATATTGCGCACCTTTCAATTTCAGTGCCTTAACCCAGCTTGGTGGAAACGCGGGAAGAGATAGAGATGGGCTCTGAATCCCGATCCGAATTACAAATAAAATACATTCCTAAATACACTACAATGTTATCTAATACTTGCTTTTCTTTTCTTTCATTTCAGGTCGTATTTTGACTGATGTTCCCTGTAGAGTCTGTCAAGACCATTCCTCTGGGAAACATTATGGGATATACGCCTGTGATGGGTAGGTGCTTTACAGGAACTAGCCTCGTGGTTTGAAATTGCAATTAAAATATGTCGTTATTTTAATTCATTTCGTTAAAAATCCAACAATTTTACAATTCACAACAAATAATTTTTTTTAGAAAAAATTTGAAATTCAATTAATATAATGTTATTTTTCTTAAGGAAAGAACAAAATTTTTTCGGTAGAACCCCAAAAATACAAGATATGAACTTAAAAGTTGCAAAATAAAGCTTTTACCAAATTCCTAAAATTTCCAGAATTAGCAATAAAGTATAATTAAGAATTATTATTGAATTTCAGATGTGCCGGCTTTTTCAAAGTAAGTTCGATTCCACATAACGTCATTACACTTGATATTTCTTTTCCTCTTTCGATGCTACATGTACTCTGTCGTATTTTTATTCCATATAGTTATCAACCTTGATCAGAAGTTTAAAAAAAATCCTTCTTAATTTGCTATAAATGTATTGATTTCTCCAATATTAATTATGATTTACGGTAATGACTTTTTTCTGTATATGATTTAAAAATGTTAAGTGTGTAAACGAAAACTTTTTAAAAATATAACTACATGCACCTATCTATGCTTCAACACATTTATTTTTTCTACATAGAAATCTATATTTCTGTAATGACAATATTAAGATAGTACGTACGTTTACCTTTTTAATAAACTATTAGAAGACGGAGACAGTACTTATATAAATTTATTTTTTAAGAAATAAATAAGAGGAAATAGAAAATATATGTATTCATTTTTTCTGAAATAGAACACTTTGAAGAAATAGAATATACTTGTGTGCCTATAATCTTTTAAAGATATCAATTTCATAGATTATATTTACTTAAATCTATTTGATAGATCTCAAAAAAATGTAGATATAAAAAGGATATCTATAAGACGAAATAGACAAAAGATGTGTAAATATATTTAAGATAATTAAGCACAGATATATAAGAAGAAAAAAATGCAGCTTTTATCTTTATCTCATCTCAGAGATCTATTAGAAGAAATAGACAGTATGTGTGCAAGTCCAGGAACCAGAATAAATGCCCAGTGGACAAGACACACCGAAATCAATGTAGAGCCTGCCGACTCAACAAGTGTGTGAAGGCTGGAATGAACAGAGACGGTAAAAAACAACGAAAACATATTGTCAAGATGTTTTTAATCACTGAAAACTTCACCATATTGAAAATAAGATTGGAATTGTGAAACATTTAAAATACAAGGACAACTTATCTATGGATGATGATATTGTACATAGCTTCAACATATAATCTTAATCAATATTACTTTAAAAACATTATTTTTTTAATTTAATAGATAAAACACTTGAAATAGAAAATATATTTTACAGCTGTTCAACATGAACGGGGTCCCAGGACGTCAACCTTACGAAGACAAGTCGCCATGTACCTTCGGGAATCCTCGGACTATAACACGTTGCTATCCGGAGCCGTTCTGCCTTCTCCGTATTTTGCTACATCCTTTTACAGTGTGAATCCACCAGGGATGTGTGAATCGGTCATGATCTCTAGTTCTGCGTCTACTTCCTCAACTTCAGCACCATCATCTTCTGTCATTGTACATCCAACACCTCGAGTATATATTTCTTTATCATCTTTGTGACATAAATTGTATGAATCTAAATGTAAAATTTGATATTGGCATGATATTTGTAAATAATAATGAATAGCAAGTAAGGCACATTGATTTAAAAATATAGGAAGCAATAGCAAATTTTTTTTATATAAATTATAAATTTATGTTATTTTCCACTGGTTACGAAAAGGAATTGTATGCAGAACAAATATTTGTATATTTTTTTAAATGATAAAAATTGTCATATATGAATTTGGAAGTTGGAAGACTTTATATATCTATAACGTTATGATACATGTACAATCTAGAAGAGCATATTTTTGTACTTTTAAGTATCCAGCTGAACTGAGTGGTTTCACTTTTCCAAGCAACACTGCCGATTCTGTTTGTGAAACAGCTGCCAGAATTTTATTCATGACCATCAAATGGACAAAAAGCATCCCGGCTTTTGTTGGATTGCCTCATCGTGACCAGTTGGTTCTCCTAGAAGAGAGTTGGAGAGATTTGTTTATACTCAGTCTTGCCCAATTCCGTCTGCCCATCCAACCTCATCTTCTTATCACAGCCTCTGGTATATATTTTTTTAATCAATGTATCAAATAAATATTTTACGTGTAATTGTGAGGATTTTTAGTCCACAAAATGGCACCTGATGCAACCTCTAAGACTTATTTATTGAGGTCCTTATTTGCTCTTTTCCAAATATTCATATGTATTGTAACAATGGACTTTCAACTTTAAAACTTTTAATCATCTTCTTATGTGATTGTAATTTGCGTACGTACATGTACTGTATAAAAGACAGATCATTTTATTTTAATTACGTTGTTTTCGATAAAAAAAAGTAGTGAACCGATTTTTTCATAAATAGTTTATTATTGAACCTTAATTACCTGAGATGTGATAATATTTAGCAAAGCTAATAACGACTGATAATAAAGCTTAGATACAATATATCTTAAGTGTATACATTTGTGTTTTGATGGATGGTGCAGTGCTAAAAAAACATTACGTTTCTTTTAGAAACTTTTTTGTAAAATACAATTTTAATCATTTTCAACGTTTATTGCAATATGACGCAAAAATGCAATGCATACAGACACATTAAGTAAACGTTGATCGATTTATATTTTCTGCAAAATTGTAGACCACGTTGTTTTTCATTCTCTTTTAAATTTTTCTGTTGATTAAGGAAATTATCAACTTTTTTCACTTAGATTATTTTTGCTTTTTCCATCATCAATTACTTTACTATTTTTTTTTGAATGATTGTATAGTTTCCACCGATAACTAAGTTTAAAAATGTTTGATTAATTATTGTTCTATTACAGGATTGACATCAGACAGTAAAATGACGTCAGAGAGAATGTCGACATGCATGTTAGAAATCCGGTCTCTACAAGAGGTCATAGATAAATTCAAAGCTATGAACGTTGATCCAACAGAGTACACCTGTCTCAAAGCAATAGTCATCTTCAAGACAGGTATTAAAAAGGATGAAATCAGAGTTATTGAACTTTATTGAACTATTTGTATAAGACGAAGGTACAGTTTCAATACAAAGTAAGCCCGATATGTTTCTAAAATATGAAAGTGATATAAGAAAACAAAATTCATTCTTTCTTAATCATAGAAATTCCCTGCAGCAAGAATGTACAAATCGTTTTTCTCATATGACCTCCGTATCGCTAATTGTGACGTCATTAACTTGTTCATTTTCCCGTATTTTCTGAAAAGTTGCAGAAGACATCAGTTTTCAGTGGAATTTTCCTTCAGGAAACATACGTACTCTGCCACCGTCGCCTGGAAAGATTTTGAAATATGTCATTTTCATAACAGTTTACATAATATATCCAAAAATTGTGGCAGACACTATTTTCAAAGGAAAATAAGCACAGAAATTCAATTTGAGGCTTTTCTGCATGGAACTTAGAAATGACCAAATTAATGAAATCAGAGAGGTTATTCATGCCTAATCTTTTGATTTATCAATTCATCTACTCAACTATTGTTAAAGCCAATATCATAACTTTTTAAGACCATTCAATTTTTAGGGCACATTAAAGCTCAATTGTACCTTCTTCTTTATCACTATAAAAATATATATATTGTTTTCTTTGCTTGGTTTAGCTTTAGAGTTCGAACACGTGTAATAAAGTAAAGTTCCCTAAATTTTCTCTATGAAAACTCTGTTCGGTTAAATGATTAAATAACACTGGAGATAAAGAGCGAGAAACATAAAGATGAAATTTAATTTTTCATACATTTTTTCAGCATTACGAAGCCCTGCAAATGAAATGAAAGCGCTAAGAGACAGCCATGCTGTGGCTCTGTTACAGGATCAGGCACAAGTTACACTAAGCAAGTACATAGAAACCACCTACCCATCACAACCGTTCCGCTTCGGTAAACTCCTCCTTCTGCTTCCACTGTTGCAGACGGTGTCATCCAAAGTCATCGAGGATATGTTCTTCAAAAAGACTATTGGACATGTGCCCATAGATAAACTGATAGTGGATATGTTCAAATCAGGGGACTTTTAATAGCTTTTGGTATCTGGGTCATCTCAAAACAAAAACTTCGCTGAAACCTACCAAAGGCGTGTGTGAATAGGTTTCAGGTTTGTTTTACAAATGGAAGAAAAATGTTAAAGAGAATAAAATTGAGTCAGGCTTTTAAAAAAACATGACATAGCTGATGATTACAAGAGCTTTATGCAATCATTGAATACCCTGCATTTATTTGTTTGGATTTTACTTCATACGCTCGTACCTTAAAACTTTTAGAGTATTTGCTATAATCTTTGATACAGAATCCTGTTGATGTGGGTACTAGTTATTTGCATTTTTGTATTATATCTATATGGTTAATGTAAGTCAGAAGATGTATGTGTACTGTGTAATCGGGCTTTTTAAAGTAATTTAAGCATTTGTTATTTGTTTATTTTTTTTTATTTAAATATGTATATAATATATGAACAATATTATATTTTCTATGTTTAATGCATTGTTTTGTTTTCCTTGTGCGTGTTGACTTCACAATAAAAAGTTGGCAAACATCGTTTTATGTTAAATACAATTATTATTTCAACTAATTTATTCTTTCTTTTGCTCAACACCATTTAATATCTTTAAGATTAACTCTATAAGAACTATGAGAATTTCTTGAATATATTTCCATTTCTATTTGTTTTCTCTGTAATAAGCCTTTAAAAGTTTCTTGAGTTGATTTCTTCATAGTTCTACCAGAATGTAAGTTAAGACAAGCGACCCTAAGGAGGCCTAATATGCAAATCTCGTGTGTATGTCTTTTTGTTTGACGTCAATGGGCGGGGACTATTGAAATGGACAGGGGAGGGGGGTCTCATGTGTATTTTAAATATATAAAACATTTTTAAAATCGAAATTGACAATTTTCTTTCACAGTGAAATGGAAATACATTGTATAAGGAATCACTGTCTAGCTAGTAGAGTATTCCAGGGACATCAACAATAGTTGCATACGTGGGATAATTTGCAAAAACGGACGAAGCCGTCGCATACTCTACTAACTAGCTAGACAATGTTTCCTTAAAAGGTTTATATGACACGGAACACTTTCACATCTATATTTGGAAATTTTATTTCCCATTTACCTCGGTTTAACTATTTTTTTTTAATAAAAAAAACGTTACGTGTTTATTTTATGAAGTCAATTGTTGAACCATATTTCAATTCTAAATATACATACAATTTTGACGTGGCTTAAACAAATTTCAGGTTTGTCTCTATGCATGCAAAAAACATAAAGCGGATTATAATTAAAAGCTATTTGCTTAGAAAAGCTTCTGAACACAATACATTATTACAACATCCTTTCTTAAAAAAAACGTTTAATGTAAATGTATTTGTTTTAAAGTCATGGAAAGAACAATAAAATATTACGTTTTTTTATCATAGTACAACATCTCCATTTATTTCAAAACAATGACAAATCATAAATATTTATAGAACTTAAACATTTTTTATCGATATATTGCAAAGTAAATTCATAATTATACATATATTTTGCAATATTGAATGCTTAACGGATATATTTAAGTTAGGAATCCATGAGTAAAGGTTTTATCACATATTGCAAACATTTCTGTTCTTTTTCCAGTGCTTGATCAAATGACATTGTTTTATTGTACATTCTCGGCATTATATTCATTGTTTACCTACCATTGACTGTCCGAATTTCCTCAACCAAAGTCGTTGATATGTTTCAGCAATCGATAGCTCTTCTTTGTCAAAAGATTGATGTTTTTATAAAAGTAAACAATAGGGTAATGATTATTGCACAACGTCGAGATATCTCATAAATCTTTATCCGAGACGAAAAGTGAAAGTTAAGTGCATGCACTAAAGTCAACTTTGAAAAAATGAAAGCTTTGCATAGCTACGTGCACTTTCAAGCACTTTATTTTCATAGGCATGATCAATTTGATATTTTGTAACCATGTATACTCTATGTGGAAATATTACCTATATTTTTTTCTATAACTTGAAGTATTTACTTAGAATGTAACAATAAAATTTAAACATCAGCTCCAGTTGCAACACTGAGATATATTTGTACACATAACATCTTTTAGATCTCATTTTAAATTATATGTTTTCATTTCTCAATATATCAACTAAACCACATATATCAACTGCACCTTCATGATATCATGCGCGATGTCAAGTCGTATATTTTGCTCTATTTAGACTTTTTTGTTCGATAAATTGCATAATTCATTTAAAGCATGTAAAAATCACTTTGACGTTACCTATTCTTCGAAAAAAGACTAATATCAGGTAACATTCTTCGGTGGTTCCTCCAACACGTGTGAATCAATAGCTGAAGGGGAGAGTCAAGACACGGTAGACATTAATGATGCTTTGAATTGAAATAAGGGTAATGGAATCAAGGCTTAGATGAGAGTATCAATGTCTACCGTTGTTTTCCTACCTCGTTAGATGCTAGAACACCTGTTGGTCGCATCATACCTGTGGTAGATGAGAAGAAAATCGGAGGGAGGTCTGAAATATAGATTTAATTTTCTGCTAATCTGAGCCGAAGAAAGACGTGGTCAATTCGATATTTAATTGAGCCCCACACCTATGTCAACATGGGTAGAAGAAATCATTAACTTCTGTAATGGGTTACTTCACTGTGATGTCCCAACCAATGAACAAACTCCAACATCAACATAACCCTTTTTCTGGACACCTGCGACGGATTCTTGGCAAAGAAGATTACAAAGCGATGCCTTTGATAATAGCATTCTTTGTGGTTGATTATGGTCAGCTATTCAAAAGCGAAAGTGATAATAATTTATCTCTATCTTCATGAGAAATCCATGAATCTTTTCTTCTGAATCCAAATGAAAAATGTTTTATAGATTTCATAAGCTAGAAATTATGACACAATACAGGATACTAGAATTTGAATTTCATACATGAACATATTCATCAAGATTTTAAAGGTGTTTCTTTTTTCAGGGAAAGATTTGACCCTCATTTCAATAGTTTATATTCTATTGTTTTTAGACTTTTTATTAAATAAATTTTATCATATTTTTTAAATAACTGTGTTTTCGTTTAACAGCGACCACTTCCATTTCATTCGTTTTCCTTTTTAAAAAAGATGTAGGTGGACCACATGAGCAATACACAAAGAAATACAGGTAGATTTCAACTGAAGGTAAGTTGTGGTCGACTTTCATAATAATAGAAATCTTGCGGCTTACCTATGCATTGTGACTGGTTTGGTAATGAGTTTCGCCCAGGTGTCCACTTCAATTAAGAACACTGACTTCATTTCGGGACTAAGGATGGGAACTCTGTCTGGGTCTAGGTCAAGGGGTACAATTGGCATCTTCAGGAATCTAAAAAAAATAAACACGATAGTTTCTCAATCTTTAAGAGTTGAAAATGATTTTTTTTTTTATTTATTTTAAGATATGAGTATACAAATACAGCCTGTAGTTTCATTTTGATATGAAGCATTTTGTTGCTAATTAAAGTTTGATCAGAGAACATCTCTCCAATCAAATGGTTTAAGGGACAATTTGTAAGCAGCGTGAAGACATCTTAAATGGAAGCATTCCTGACAAATTTAATGTGTATATATAGAATGTTCATTGAGATTTGAATTTCAAATACATTTTATAATCATGATGAAGTGGAATAGATTTATATTCTAAGAGTACATGTACATTATATGCGTTATATAGTAAATTCTAGGTCATCTATATCTTCATTGTCGGCTTCCATATATCATATATAACAATATTAGATGTCACACTGCGCAATGGTTCAATGAAAATGTCAAAATGTATTTAGATTTTAACTTTATATTCTTTGCGAGCGCTAAATAGAGGAGAATCTGATTTCAAAGAGTTTCATAATGATCCAGTAACAGAGGGAAAATCTTTGAAGTTTTCTATGAAGATATTTTATTAAATAACCCTATGTTAACAATCATATCTATTAAAATCTAACTTAAGGATGAGAAAAAGAGCTCTTTTGGTCTGGAAATAAGCTCTTAAAGGAGACTTTATTCCTAACCATACAATAAGTCATTTCTGTCTTAGGTCCAGATTTCATCCGATACCACCTCCCCATGAGACTCCATTGACAGAACTGGAAAATTAACACTGACAGCAAGCCATCGCAGGACAACCGCGAGAAGTGGAATTCATTGTTACCAAAGAAATGTACAAATAAATGAAAGGTTTTGACTTTCAAACAGAAAATCATATTTCAATTTAATTAATAATTAAAACGAAGTCGTATTTTGATACCGCAGGGGTTCTTTTTGGTGATGCCAATATATCGTTTAATATTTTTTATTCATAATTGACTTTTTTGTAAAAATGGTATTGACTCGTACCATGCTGTATTTTAAAGTTTACACAGCGTTGAAATTCAAGCATGGAGATAGTTTTGTTAACCATTTAACAAATCAACAAAGATACAGGCGCTCGATTCTGGTAGTTTAAATGATATACAAATGGAATTTTAATAAAATTTCAAATGGCATATACATAAACATATTATAAGGGTCGAATTTAGAACAAACGGAATACATTTCTTAATGAAAAACTGCCAGCATTATTAATATATGGCTATGCAACATAAACAATGTCCTAAACAATTTAAATAAGCCTATATGGAGGCTTTAAGGATAATGTACTGTATTAAGTAACCAAGAATCAAAAAGACTCATATTTTATATAATATTAACTAAATGTAAAATAGTAGTGTTTAATATATACTAAGAAAGGATCGAATTCAATCGGTTGAAGGTGTGATTGTCAGTCGCTCAGCAATACAAATTTCGCATGCATATAACACTGTGTGCACCTTTGGTTTGCAAATTTTATAATATATGTATAAAATCATTTATAATTGTATGTAAGTTTACAAAATCAAGATGTTGAGTCGTAATTGTGAAATCTTAGATCAAAGTGATAGTCATCTTCATAATTACATCTCACATGAATTTTATACTCCAAAAATTTGTGACGTCACAAATGGTAACAGGACCGCACTCAGCATGTTACAGACGTTATGTCTCCCAACAGTTCGTGAATTTTAACTCGGATTGCAGTTAATGGCGGAATTTCATATTAACAAACTGTCCGCTTTGAACAAATTATAATTTTTTCATTGAATAGTATGTCTAGGAACCTGTTGTGATAATTAGAAGTATTAAGTCTGTATTTGATTGTATCTGGAGTAGATCTTAGCTTCCCTTGCGAGAAAATATACTACTAAATGAATTTAGATTGTAAAACATGTTAATCCAGCATGCAAACTCGGTGATTTTACTCTATTAAAATCAACTAATTACTTGCTGGAATATTTTGAAATTTTTAAGGTCTATGATGTTGCAAAAGTTGATGTTTCAAAATGTTCAGAAAATAAATTCTTAAGTTTTCACTTTTTAATGTGTACCTGCAAATGGAAATTGATTTTTCATTAATGTATGTTTAATTCTTGTTATATACTTATAATATAGTTATTGTATTTCAAATAAGG